TTGGATGAAACTACTGTGTTGAACTTACAAGTGGATCTGGAAAAGAATTAGTTGCAAAGGATGGGCAGGCATGAATGGGTTAAGACTTGCAGTGATATAGGAAATCGAAATAGTTGGACACCCTTGCCTAATGAAGGGCCCAAACCTAATAGATTTTATTAAGCAACTGCTAGTAAACTGTATTTATATATTAAGTGGATATTTCTGCTAATGGCAATCAAAATATCTATTCTATTATAATTTGCTACAAAATGTTAGCCAATATTACAACATATATCTATTAGAAAATAATTTGTTAGAATTTCCATTTAGGATTGGCATAAAACTTCCAAAACAAAAACACAGAACTAAAAAGGAAACTGGAAAGTTTCTAGTTCAAACTCACATTTTGTATATAAAGAAACTGAGAACTACAAGCTTTGTCATTTGACTTCTGGTCAAGTTCTCGTTCCACTATATACTACTTCCCCTATTGATTGTTCCAATATTTTAATCATTTTAAACTTTGATTCTCTCACATTTTGCATTAACTTTCCCTCCCAGTTTGACAGAGTTCAAAATTGTCAGAATCAACAAATGCCAAAAATCTTATTAATCAAACCTACCTTTAAACCTATAGTACAATAGGAGTACTCTCCAGTGCATGCCCTCATCACTTCATGACCACACTATTAGAATAGCCTGTTTGTGAGTCTTCTTGCCCCAAGTCTTTCCCTGCTCCAATATACCCTCCATTAGATTATCAAAGGGATTTTCCTAAAATGCAGGTCAGACCATGTCTGTCTGTCTGTCACTCACACTCATACACACACAATAAACTCCAGTGGGTCCCTACTGACTCCAGGATCAAATACAAAACCTTGTTTTGTGGTTAAAGCCCCTCATATTCCAGCCCCCTTCCACTTTTCCAGTCTTCTTAACCTTTATCACACACTCTTCAATACAATGACACTGGCCTCCTGCCTGTTCTATGAATAAAACATTTTTCTGGCTGTCCCCTATGTGTGAAATGCTCTTCTTCCTCAACTCCACCTCATGATTTCCCTGGTTTCCTTAAGGTCACAATTAAAATCCTATCTTTTACAGGAAATCTTTTCCAAACTATCTTAATTCTAAATTATTTTTAAAAATTAAATCTTTTAAATTATTTCCTATTTATCCTCTATATAGCTTGCTTTGTATATATTTGTTTGCATGTTGTCTCCCTCATCAGCTATTAAGCTTTCTGAGGGCAGGGGCTGTCTTTTACTTCTTTTTGTATCCTAGCACCCAGCAAAGTGTCTGGCACATAGCAGATGTTTAATAAATGTTTACTGATTGTTTATCCTAGACCAGGGGTTCTTAACCTGGAGTCCATAACCCCAAGGTGTCCATGAGCTTAGGTGGGAAATATTAAATATTTATTTCAAAATAATTACTTCATTTTATGCATTCAAAAACATTATTTACCATGAAGGTATCCAAAGATTTCCACAGGCTGCCAAAGAGGTCCACGACACAAAAAAGGTTAAGAACCTCTAAACACAGTCATTTTACAGAAAGCTTACAAACGCTGTGGCTAAAACTGACAGTATCTTCATAAATAACAATTAAATGAAACTTTAAAAAAGACACAGATTAACGAATCCTCTTTATGTTACATACAAAAAATAAATACGATAAATACATTGCATACAACAAAAAGAACATTTTAATGTTTGACTCTAGGAATACTCAGAGTTTCAAAAAAAAACTCTCGGGGGCAGCTAGGTGGAGCAGTGGATAAAGCACTGGCCCTGGATTCAGGACCTGAGTTCAAATCCAGCCTCAGACACATAACACTTACTAACTGTGTGACCCTGGGCAAGTCACTTAACCCCACTGCCTAACCCAATTAAAAAAAAACAACCTAACAATATTGTAAATTAAATGGCGCTCTATGTTTATTTTGTAAAATTCTAGCTCCAATGTCTTTCCACAGAATATGATTCATACACATGATCAATACAATGGGGAGGAAATTCAAAGTGACAGACTCCCTCTTTTATAATCTGAATAAACTATTAGGAACACTCCTCTGACTTTAAAACCCAAAAACTATATTGTAGTATATGTTTAGTCCATGGAACAGTTCCAATAAATCTAACTGAGATGATTATATTACTTTACCAAGGCTTCAAGAAGAATTAGTTAACTTGCATTTGGAGATGTGTAAGAATTTAAAGTTATTATTTTTCAAGGCTTAACACCCCCCCACCCCGAATTTTTTTTCAGATGATCAAACAACTAAATCCAGCAAACTATCAAGAAACTCGTGTGGTACTTTCATTGTAGATAAACTTTCATTACCACAAGATGAAAATCCATCATTTATTCTTGATCTATGAATCTGACACAACTCTACAGCAACAAAATTTTTTTTAAATGTTAGCCTTAAATTTTAATAAGATTAAAATAAGTTCTAAAATTATCATGAGCTGCATATTTTAAAAACATTTTTATTGTCTTTCCAAAGCAAGATTTAAAATGATAAGAACTACCTGACTTTCTAAAGTAAGTCAGCACCATCTAGTGAAAAAAGTTGGCATTAGAAAAAGTTAATGTTTCATTAAGAAAGTATCATTTAGTAGCAAAAAAAATTTTTAAATGTCTAGACAGCATAACCATTGATTATAACTACTAAGGCAAAAAACTGGAAGTAACCACCAAAGACGATATTTAATTAATTTATAAGGTGAGACAACTTATAAATGAACCTTGATTAAAAAAGAAACAAAAAATTTTAACATGAAATTTTACTTTTTTTAAATCCCTAATTTTTGCTAATAAGCTTAGTTATGGATTTTGGGGAAGATAATATCTTGTATAGTACCACCAGGAACTATCACAAAAATAACAAAGTATGACAGCATAGGTCATACTAGCTCAACTGACTACTGCTACAGTAAAATTTTCCCGTCCATACTAAGAATTGCTGAATAGTCCTCTCTTACTATCTATATATTTGCCTAGCCACAAGCAAGTACAGCACTATCAAAAGTTACATACATCAAAAACTAAAAGAAATGGATTGAACTGGTTCAACAATTCCAAGTCCTCTAGAAGAAAGCAGCTTATTTTATTCAAGAGGCTATGATGAATACTTTCATAATACTTTCACAGAAGTTTCTACTTCTATATGTTTGTTTCATTTGTGACATTTGGCATGTAGGGGAGTTGACCTTGGTAAGAAGAGAGGTCACCTCTTCATGTGAGATAGCAGTAAAGGAGAAAAAAGTGGAGGAAGGCATCTGAGTGATGCGAGATGGGAAGCTGGGCATAAAGAGGAAGCTTTCCCTAAATTGCCTGAATTTTTTCAGTAAAATATGAGGCAAAGTTCTCATCTGAGTGTTCAGTATGAGAAGAAGAGAAGCCATGGGAGGTATAAGCAGGGATGAAGAGTTTGTTAGTTAATCGGCTGAGCCAAAGTTTTTCCAAATGAGTTACTCATAATTCCAAGAAAAAAACAAAACAAAACACCCTTATGGACTAGTTCCGATTTCAATGGGAATTTTTTTTTTTACTTTTTGGTAAAGCAATCTGGGTTAAATGACTTGCCCAGGGTCACACAGCTAGTAAGTGTCATGTGTCTCAGGCTGCATTTGAACTCAGGTCCTCCTGACTCCAAAGCCGGAGCTTATCCACTGCGCCACCTAGCTGCCCCAAAGAATTTTTTTTAAAGAATGAAAGAACAGCAGTTATACCCCACAAATAACATTTTGAAGCGTGTGACACTGAAAATATAATTGCCAAAGTGTGGCTCTGGAAAAGAACTGAGAGATGCTCCTCTACCCCTTCTTTGCAGAGAAGGTAGAGGGGGGTATAGAATAATGCATCTCCCATCAGATAGAGTCAAGATGCTGGTTAGTCTTGCTGACTGCTTTTTTAGCTTTTCTTTTAAATCTTTGTTATGACGTATGGCTTGTTGGGTATGGTACAGGGGTGAGGTTTACTCATAAATGAAATTGACATGAAAATAAAACACTGTAATAAAAATAGGTTAAGAAAAGAAAAGTAAAAGTATAACTCATTCCATAATCTTTCTCTACTTCATTTAAACATGGGACAGAGAATGGAAAGGTTCATCACGAGACGAAGCCCTTCACTTTGCAGATGGCAAAAACGAGGTTCAAAGAGGAAAAATGATTTGTGCAAGGTCAAGCACAGGCAGTAAATAATAGAGCTAGAATCTACACCCATGTCTTCTACTATTTTGCACTGTTTCATGTCTGTAAATCTTTTGTTTCCCAATATTGTAAGATTGGAGAGAGAAGTCTGACCAGTACTCACCATTATGTATCTCAGAAATAAGTTAAAAACACCAACTAGAGCCCCAGAAATATTTTGAAGATAAATATAAATTAATGAAAACTAAGGAAGTATGCTGCCTATCAATATTCACTTCCAAAATTAAAAACACAGTAAAGCTGATAGTATGGCATAATAAAAATAACTCTTATCTATACAGTTATTCAAAATATTACAAAAGCCTGGCTCTCACAATGAGCCTTTGTAGGACACAAAACAAACACCATCATCACCATTTTATACATAACTAAAGTTCAGAGACTTTAAATTATTTGACCAAGGACTGAGAACTAATATGCCCCTTGGCTGGGACTAAAACCTTGTTTCTTTCTTTGCAAACAGAAGCCCTTGCTTGCTATTACTCCATAGCTACCTTCCCCACCTAAAGCAAACTAAGTCTATGCAAGCTATTTTAGACCCCAGAATCCTAATGCACTTAAAACAAAGTTACCATTTTCTCCTGTTACTCACTTTAGCTATCAAGCCAGTGGAGAAAAAAGATGCCTTGGGTTCTTATCGCAGATCTAGCCCTAACTCACTCTAAGAGCATGTTACTAACTTTGCTATTTTTGTGAGAAAAGAAAAGATGTGAGACTTAAATAGCTAAAACCTACAAATTACGTTTGAAGACAGAGACAGAAAGTCTTCAGTATCAACAGCTACCAACTACATACCTGATGCAAGGAAGAACTGAGGAGGATCTCCATGTATGCCCACTATTCCTGGTCCCAAGGAATCAGACAGGATATTAACAAGGGAAAATACTCCACTCATGATTCCAAAACCTAAGCCAGACACTGAAAGAGAAAAAACATGGTCTGTTAATTGTTGATGAAAGGTATGGTATAAAGGAAAGATTACTGCATTTGGAGTACAGGACCTGAATTCAAATTCCAGGTCTGCCACTTAACTACCTTTGTGATCTTGGGCAAGTCACTTAACCTCTAGGGGCCTCATTTTCCTCATGTGAAAAATAAGGTGGCTGGATGAAAGCTAAGGAGTCAAAACTCTACTGAGGGCCACATGTGGTCCACAACACTCCTGAGTGGAGCCCAAACTACATTAAAATGTAATTGGGAAATACGTAACACAATAAATGAAAATACAATAAAATACATATAATACGTGGTTTTCTGAGTAAATATGAAGCCCAGAGGGTTGCCTGGGAATGGTTTAGTGCCCCTGTTTCTACTAGAGTTTGATACCACAGGTCTGGGTGACCTCTATAGTCCTGTCTAGCTCTAAATCTATAATCCTATATTTTCTTAACCCTGTGAGATGCTGCCCACATCTAAATTTTGCTTGACACAACATAGGCTGAGGAGCAAAGCTTGGTTGTGAAGGAAAAGAGTAAAAAAAGGACAGGATCAGAAGGTACATTTCTGAGAGGCACATGTAAGACAAAATGACAAAAAAAGGGAGGGAAGAGAAAGAAAAGAACTGATATTTAAAAAATAGAGGGAAAAGATAAGAAAGATGGAGGAAAAGGAAAGTAAGGAGAAAAAAGTATGAAAGGCAAACTTCTGTTAGTTTTAACTTTTTAAAGTAAGTTTCTACATAAATACTTTGATAGTTTAGAGGTGGAGATGAAGGGCCTAGACCCTTTAAGGAATGGCTCCCAAAGTCAGGTTGATATTATAACTTAGCTGTTTCTTCAAAGTGATTCAATCAAGATTATCTTCAGCATGAACCCATAGAGACCCACACCAATATGAAATCAGACCAAAATCTTGTCAACATAATTATAAAGGAACCATATGTCAAAGGGGAAAAGTACATTTAATATACATCTTCCTTAAGTACAGATTTGACCACGTCCCCTCCACTCCCACCCAATAAACTCTAGTGACTCCCTATTCCCTCTAGAAGCAAATGTAAAATCCTTTAAAGCCTTTCCTAACCTGGCCCCTTACTACCTTTCTAATCTTCTTACATTTTACTTCCATGCCATTCCTCTAGTCTGTGATCCAGTGATACTGACTTCCCTGTTATTCCTCCCCATGGCTGCAATTCCCTTCTTCCTTATCTCCATCTCCTGGCTTCCTTCACTTCCTTCAGAAGCCATCTAAAATACCACCTGCAAGAAGCCTTTCCCAAATCACCTTAATTCTAGGGCCTGCCTTATGAGATTACCTCCAATTGATCATGTCTATACCTTGTTAGTACATAGTTATTTGCCTGTTGTCTTCCTCATTAGTTAAAGAGCTCCTGGAGCACAAGGACTATTTTCCCCCTTTCTTTGTGTCCTCAACATAGTACACAGTAGGTAATTAATAAATACTTATTCACTTGACGTGTATATTTTTCTCTTGTGGTGCCCCAATTATAAAAAACAGTAAATTTCTCCTTCAGTCCTAAGGGTATTGGAGGGGAAAAAAAAAAGAACAAGCCCTAGAAATGTCTGTATTCTCATCGACCCTTAAGTGATCATGGACTTCTGAAGGAACAAAAGATGTTTCTCTCTGTAGGGACATATTTGATCACTATTTAGACCAGGCCCGCAGAACCTGAGGCCCTGAGGGCCACCCAAAATCCTTTGGCATGCCCATAGGCCGTAAGCTGAGGGCTACAGGTTGTGCAGGACTGGTTTAGACCTTTTAAGTTACTGAAACTTATTCACCTTTCTAGGACTCTCACTTCCTGCATTTTTGTTTAAAAGGTTGTAACATCATGGCACAGTGGATAGAGCACCAGTCCTGAAGTCAGGAGGACCTGAGTTCAAATCCAGCCTCAGACACTTGACACTAGCTGTGTGACCCTAGGCAAGTTACTTAACATCTTCTGGTTATGTGAATAACATCTATTTTTTCCTCTGTAGAACTAAGTTCAACTTGGCAGTATAAGTCATTCTTGGGTACAAAACTCTTTTGCCTTGAGATATTACGTCATATTGTTTTCTTATATTTGTTGAGTAGTTCTACGTAATTCTGACTAGGATTTCTTAGTGTATGATCTGTCTCTTCTTGGCTGCTTGGATACTTTCTGACTGGATAATCATGGTGTCTGGCAATCACGTTCACAGGTGTTGTAGATTCTCTTTGCTCCTGGGCCATTTTACTTGGATTTCTTGTTCAAGCTTTTGGTTTTGGAGAAGCCCTCTCATGAAGTACTCTCATTACCTTCTGTTTTCCAAGTCATTTCTCTATGATAGCCCAGGTAAACACTGATGGGAGTGATGAGAAGATACATGCAATATATTCTGGATATAGGATAATAAAAATATTTGGAAGAATAAATCTAATAAGTGACACATTAGATTTAAGAACTAAAAAATGCTGATGGCAACAATAAAGGTCTGACTAAAGTGAAGGCGCTTTGAGTCTGAAACCCTGGGTTCCAGGCCTAGCTTTACCACTTACTACTTGTGTGATCTTGGGCAAGTTACTTAATCTCTCTGAAATTGAGTTTCCTTATCCATAAACTGGAGAAAAGAAGACTTCCATTATCTACTCCACAGGGTTTTCTGAGGCAAGTGTTTTACACATCTTGAAGCACTATACAAACGTGAGCAATCATCATCAAAAAGAGTGAAAAAGATTGTAATTTTTAGCTGCTTTCTGTATTTAAATATGCCTTTTACTGTAGTTACTAAATATAATTTTTAAAATTACATGCCTACTACTAGAATAATGCAAATAAAGTGACTTTTGGTCAATGACCAAAAGAAAGGCCCCATATACACCAAAATATTTATTGCAGCACTTTCTATGGAAGCAAAGAACTGCAAACAAAGTAAATATCCATGAAGAAAGGATAATAAACAAGTTGTGATACATAAATGTAATGGAATGTTACTGTGCTATAGAAACAATGAACAAAATAAATACAGAGAAGTATGAGAAGACTTACATAAAGAGATGCATGGTGAAGTAACCAGAACCAGAAAAACAATATACACAATGAATACAATAGAAATGATGAGAACAAAACAGCTGAAACTGACTGCTAAAAAATTACAATGACTAAGCTGGATCCCAAATTAGAGACATGAGAATGCATTCCCCCTGACTTATCTGCAGAAGCTGGGAACTATGAGTGTAAAACATAGCATATATTATCTCACTTTACAAGTTGGTAAGTTTTGTTGAACTTTTTTTCCCCCCTTTTTTATTCTTTGTTATAACAGATTGCTATCTGGGGAAGGAAGAATGAAGGGAGTAAGTCGGGAAATGTAAATTATATAAAACTAAAAGATATCAGTAAGATTTTAAAAAATCAAATTATACACTTCTAAGTTTGTGATTGAATTCTAACTTACCATAGGCCAGCTGTCTTATAGAAATGGGTGATGTCTCCTCTTGACTTATAGTCATCAAACCCTTATTTGCTTTTCTGAAATATATATGTATAATTTTTTAAAATGAAAACATATCAGAAAAATCTGAAACACATTTCAAATTCAGGTTTACAAACATATATGCTCTGGGTCATGAATTACAATATTTAACTGGATATATAATCAATTAATTATATTCTTTTATGCTTTACTTAAAATATATTACAGCACAAGAAAAGAAACTATCAGGGATTAATTCAGAAAATGAATTTTAGTCTAAGCTTGAATTCAGCCCAATCTCTTAAGCTGCTATCTATATCCACTACCTCCCAAACATATCACACTCCTTTCCATCCTTGCGATTTTATTTATGCCCTACAGTACAGAATGTCCTCCCCTTTACATTTTGCCTATTCTAATTCTATATCCTTCAAGATTCATCTAATGGAATTGTGTCTCTTCTAGCAAGTCTTTCCAGACTACTATAATAAATACTAGTCTTTTCTTTGTCTAAATATTATGAAGTATCATTATAAAAAAGTATGTCTTGTCTCCTCAACTGTTTGTAAGGCACTTCAGTATAGAAAGTCTTATGCTTCATTTTTATTCAGCACAGTAACATTTTTTGAACTTCAATTCAACAGAGTGTAAATTTCTTGAGGACCAGGACTTTTGTTTTTTAATCTTTAGTGTTTAGTACTTAATGCTTGTTGAATATCTGAATAAAAAAAAATTTTATAAGTATAGGACTACACAACTATTCACTTGAAAAAGGCCTATGTTTTAGTGAATAGGAGGCTCAATGATTTAACAGTGTCATACAACAGCCAAGAAATGTAAGCTGAAGGTACATTAAGAAAGGCATATGTCCAGGCCTAAGAGGTTAACAGTTTCACTTTACTCTGGTCAGATAATATCTAAAGTCTCGTGTTCTGTTGTGAGCATCACATTTTAGAAAGGACAATGACAACCTGAAAAGTATGTGAAGTAGGATGATCATATCAGTGAAAAGTTTTGATTTCATGCCATATGAAGACAGATTGAAGGGAAAAGATTCTAGGGGATGTAAACATGATAGCATTTTTCATTATTTAAAGGGCTGTCACATGGAAGGAGGATAAAACTTGTTCTGTTTGGCAACAAGAGCAGCACTAGGGACCATGAGTATAAATTACAAAAAGGCAAATTTAAACCTAAAATAAGGAAAACTCCTTAACAATCAGAGCTATCTATCCAAAAGTAGAAGGCAGTGTCTCAGGAGGTATAATGGGATCCCCTTCACTGAAAGTCTTCAAGCAAAGCCAGGAAGAGCACTTATTACCTATGCTGTAGAACGGATCCTTTTTCGGGTATGGGTAGACTAACTGTAACAATTTGCTCATATAACATTCTTTCAGAAAGTATAATTAAAATGGGTACTCATAACAGTGACCTTAATTTCAGCAGCCTTTGAAACAAAGAAGTTTTCATTATAATCATTTTTTTAAAAATCGTACTTGTGAGTTCACTGATACATGGAATTTCCAGTGAGTAACATCTTTCTACTAACGTAGATTAGTGCCTACTGGGCAGTTCATGGCCTTTTCAAAGAATTCTCAAAGGCTATGCCAGCAGAGGGCAAGCTCTAACAGGTCCTACCAAATGTAAAGGCTTCACTCACAAGGTTGTGATACACTAATGCTAAAATTCTGTCATTAACAGGCTAAATAAATAACAGAAAACTGAACACTAGATTTTCAGTATTTTTGGCCACATTAATTCAAGATTACCTATTAAAGAATGGAAAAGTTGAATCCTGAATTGTTGAAGAAACTGCAGCAATGAAATAATGAATCTTTTGAAGCTGAAGATAAATCCATGTTAAATCCTAAAATTTGAGATCACTTGTTGCAAAAGATATAAATTCCATCCTTAAATGTATCCTAGATTACTACACACAGGAGAGTATAGGCAATAACTAATTTGCAGGATGAGTTAGGTCTCTACCATAGCTGTAGGTTCCTCTTGATGAATGTCAGGATTGTTTCCCAAGTTACCAAGAGATGTTCAATGAGAACAGAATGAAAGAGAAAAAAGATTCATTTCAGTGGTATAGTGGAAAGAGCACTGGGCCTAGAGTCAGGAACAGCTGAGTTCAAATCCAGCCTCAGTTTCTTACTAGCTGTATGACTCTGCAAATCACTTAATCCATTTACCTCAGTTTCCTTATCTGTAAAATAGCACCTACTTTCTACAGTTGCTGTGAAGAGAAACATGAGATAATATTTGTGAAAGCACATAGCACAGTGCCCTGGCACATTGTAAGCACTATGTAATTCAACTATAATGGTAATAAAAAGGAAAAGAGTGATTTCCTATTATAAATAACAAAGAAAATTTGGTAGAAGGTATGTAAGAAAGAACTAAAAATTTCTCAAAGGACTTCCCTGTGACCATAGACAATCTAAACACCCAATTTTCCTATCCAACCATAAATATTTAGTTATCACAGGAAGGCCAATAAAGGCCTCTTAGCTAATACAAAATATTTATTCAATGCTGAATGCTACATGAACAATAACGAACTCTCCAATACATACGTGCATATAACTAGTACTGTCTCCTTTGTCTAAATTCTTAACGAATCTATTTGATGTAGCAAAGTGTATGAACAACAACAACAACAAAATCACATCATGTGAATAACTACTCTAGCTAGAAAATGTATACTTCAAGTTTTCTTCTGGAGAAAAAAATACTAAAATATATCCAGTCAAAAGGCGTTTTGTTTTGTTTTTTAACTCAGATCTTATGAATTACTCAGAAAAGTATTTATCACGTCAATAGTGCCTAATGGTCAAATAAGGAAGTGAAAAAGGACAAAGGAAGATTCACTTCTATATTTCTGATGATACAAATAAAAGAATGCTGAAAATGTCAATGTTTTCAATTTGACTACCTTACTATATTAGAAAGTTCTTTATAGTTTATATGTCCTTATATGTCCTTTATATGTCCTTATAGTTCCAAGGGCACTGTACTATTATTATGTTTCTAGGACAATGAAATAAATAAGAAAAACATTATAGGAACCTGATTTAAAGGTCTTTATGAAAAAAATCAATCGTTCCTTTTTTGCTTTTTTTTTGACTGTTATATTCCTTGCTCTTTAAATTTAAGATTCCCTTCTACACTTAACATTTATGACAGCAGCACTGCTGAGATTTAATGCTCCTGTCAATCTAAAAGGTTTATCATATGACAAAAATGACTCATATTATGAACATCTCTACCCCAAAGGATAAAAAATCCATTATTTATTTTGGGCTGTCTCTACTGACATACTTCAAGATTTCTAATCAGATACAAAGGACTATCGATCCCAGCCAACAAGGCAAATGAATTCTCATCACATAACACTGTCAGTGTTGAAGCTACTATTCATTTTTTAAATATGTGAAGTGATTATATCATAAAGTCTGATCCATGAATAAAGCTTCTAGTTGACTGCACAATGAAGATGTCTATTTGGTTCTCAATCTGTAATAAATCAGATATAAATTCTTCATATTTTAATCTTGCTGAATGAAATCCAAACCCTTTAGTTTGGCATTCAAAGACCACCACAATCTGGTGCCAGACTACCTTTCCAGGCTTATCTTGTATTACTGCCCTCCAGTCAAAGTGGATTCCTTACTATCATACATATATACACCATGCTCTATCACTTTAAGTCTTCACTGATGCTGTTCTTTAAGCCTAGAAGACTATTTTCCTCCCTCCCCCACAGAAAATGTTAACCCAGTTCAAATGCTACCTCCTTTATGAAGCCTTCTCAAAACTTCTCCCCCAAATTTTTTTTCTATCAGGACTTCATAGTACTTTTTACTTCTCTATACACTTATCATACTCTATTTAATACTTTAATTATTTGTGAATGTTGCATTCTTTCTACTGAAATTTAAGTTATATGAAGGGAGGGACTAAAGTCTTATTCATCTTTGTATTTATTGCCTAACAATCATTTTAGCTACAGTTGAAATAGCTTCTTCCTGAATGAAAATGCCACCAATTCACAAATAATCTATCACACTGAGGAAGGAAATATCTACTTTAGAAAGGGATAAGTTAAAATGAAACTTTTAAAACTAAAGTCCTTGTTTTTATATAGTATAAACAGCAGAACTAAAATTGTAGTTGTAAGTTAGTCCTAAAATATTCATTATAATAATTCTTTAAGTTATTTTATCACACAATGTAACAGACCTGAAATTCTGAAAAGCCCTTTCTTCACCATGCATTCTGTAAAATGTTTCCTAAATTTGTCAGATTTTACAAATGGAAAAATGCAACTATTTGTATCAGGCTTCCTCCCTCATCTCCACAGCCCAATGAATATGCATAAGTTTCTCTAACATTAAAAGCCTTCCCTCAAAGTTTCTACTCCATCCAGCTGTTTTATCTCTATTTCATGACTAAATATCTTGAAAAATAAAAAAGATACTTCTACTTCCCTAACACATCTCCCCAAACCTTTATAATCTTGTTTCTATCTATTAGGACTAAATATTGTACTGAAATTGCTCTCTCTAAGGTCAATCAATTAGCAAACATTTTTTAAACACCTACTAAGTGTCAGGCATTCAGCTGAGATCTGGGGATACAAAAAAAGGCAAAGACATTTCCCAGCCGTCAAGGAGCTATTCAAAACCTGGATTCTTCCTACCTTTCCAGTCTTATTACACTCTACATCCCTCCAAATATATAATCCAGCCTTACTGGTGTACTCACTGTTTTCCACACATGATGCTTCATTTTCCAATCTCTTTCCAGTGTCTTGGTACTGGCTATTCAGAATGCCTGGTATGCCTTCCCTCCCTATCTCCACATTTTAGGAGCCCTGACTTCCTTGAGGACTCAGTATAGGTTTTGCCTTCTACATGAGGCATTTCCTAACCCTCCTTCCCCTTTCCCACTCACCTACTAGTACATTCTTTCTCAAAACTACTTTGTATTACACACACACACACACACACACACACACACACACACACACACAACACGACTATAAGTCTGCTGTCTCTCCTATTAGACTTTAAATTCCTAGAGTGCAGGGGCTGCTTTACTTCTGTTTTTTGTATCTGTAGGATTTAGCACACTGACTGGCACATAATAGGGGCTTAATAAATATATGACTGATTAACTGAAGTATTTGTCAGTGGCACTACCCAGTTTCCTATGTTAAAAACCGTGAAGCAAGCTTTATAAGAACTGGGCAAGAGGAGAGAGTCAGTTACCAAGTCCTACTACTTCCAAAATCCAAACCAAGTCCATTCTACTTCCAAAATAGCTTTGTCTTCAGCACCCTTGACAACCACCTAATACAGACTCTCATTATCACCTAGTTAAATCACTGTAAAAACCTACTAAAAAGGTCTTCCCACATCTACTCCATTTCCCCTTCACACCAGCAAACTACTGCCCAACGGCTAAATTCAGCCACCTGCCTATTTTTGTAAGGCTTGCAAACTGAAAACAATTTTTACATTTTTTGAATGAAATAAAACTATTCTTAGTTTGTAGGTCAAACAAAAATAGGCAGCTATTGTTTGCCTGCTTTACACTATAGCTACACTAATCTTCCTTATGTACAAATCTAGTCATGTCACAATTCTGCTCAAAACCCCTTACTAGTGCTCCACTTCCCACCAAATAAAGTTTAAACTCCTATCAGCATTCAAAGTTCTACATCATGTGACATTTCCTTTTCTGACATTATATACTACTCCCTTAGAAGTACTTCACACTCTAGCCGAACTTCATTACTCATCTTCATTTTACGTCCCCTTAGTTCCCACTTCAATGCACTTGCTCATGATGCTTGGAATTCTCAACCCCAAAGTTGGTTGAATTCTTAACCGTCCTTTAAAATACAACTTATATGCCATTTTTTTCTAGCAAGCTTTCCCAGACATCCCGGTCAGTAATTTCCCTTCTCATACTTGACAGAGCACTTTGTCCTACAGATCTCTCTGCACTTTTCATCAATCTTTATAAAGCATTACAGTTACTTCTTTATATTTAACATTCTCCATGCTAGCTGAACACTTAATGAAGAAAGTGCCCAGGTCTTACCTAAAATTTGTGTTTTCTCACTTAGCACAATGCCTTAATAAATGTTTATAGAACTCTAAAAACAGATTCTACCTTTGGTGAATACCAAATTAGATTGTAGACGAGGGCCTGAAGGCATCGGTAAGATGGGCAAAACTGCTCAATTACTCTGGGAAAGTCAAGTTTCGGGAAAAAGTTATACCATAAATCCTGTTTCTAATTTGTGAACTACAGAGGTACAGTCTGTGATAATGGTTCCACAAAAAGTCTATATTTTTAACCAAATAAGAACCATCATTTAAATGTCAAAAAATGAAAACAATTCCAATCAAATTCCTATCTGAGGTATATGTTCATTGTTCGAAGATATTATTAAAGATAAAAGAGACGTAACTTTTAAATCTTTTTTTTCCAAGAGTTTTGCATATAAGCAAAGTATTCCTGGTTTCCACCTCCGATTTAAACTGTTTCATCTGTGAAAAGACAAAGTCTAAAAATAGAAATTAACTACTGAAAAGATCTTAGCAGAACCCTCAAAGGAGAAAGTTAGGAATTTGTATGGTTAACTGTAGGATATTCATGAAAAGTCTTCACCCCAAAAACATTTACTTCAGGAAAGGTAAATTCATACAATATGATCCTTAATTGTGTTTGTATCCCTAGTGCCTAGCAAACGTTTTTGCCACATAGTAGGTTCTTGTTAATTGCTTGTTGTGTAAATCATAGCCAATCTTTGAAAACTCTCATAGAATAAAGGCTATAGCTCTAAATTCAAGCTTAAGTTTAACCAGCAAACCTGAATTTGTTTTTGAGACCACTAAGGTCCCTCCAAGGGTCATCTAAGTGATTTACTGCATGGTCTTTTTGTATCCTACAAATCACATCAGCAATGTATTTTTAAAATTTTTATTTTCTGTTATATAGACATTTATTCACAAAATGTAGTCACAAAAATGGTTTAATCTTTTAAATCTTTGTGTAAGAGGATGGGAGTAGGAAATGGAAATAAATTAAACAGGTAATCCATAGAGAGGGCCCTTTGCCCTGCTAAAGTAGTTCAGGGACAGGGGAAAAAAAACTTAAGGATCATTAACTAAATATATTTTACGCTAAAAATTCTCTGACTCTATAGCAAGAATTTGGTGGGGAGAGGGTATGAATCCCCAAGAACATAGTGAGGATCTAATTTGCCATACTATTCATCAACTTTTTAAAAAGCAAAGCAAAATATTAACTTACTTTAAAAGTCTATAATATGCAAACCGGAAGACCTCCTGGATTATGACTGAACACAATACTCCAAAGATAAGCAAACCTTTCTGCACTGATTCATCTTTGGTGCTACTAAGGGTTACTGCAACGAACCAAATGAGGGAGGACAGCAGCAGAGACACCAACCAGAAGAATGCTCTGAAAATTTCAAAAATTTACAAATGTAGTTTAAATATTCACAATAATAAAAATGCACTATTAAAAAAACCCTTTAATTCTACTCGAGAAGTCCGTATTTAACAAAAATTTAAGTAGAATGATGCTCTAGAGGATTTACTTCCATCTCTTAATTTTAAAACACCTCCAGGTTGTCTTCGCTTACTCTAACGACTATTGTAAAACTTTATCCCTAGAAAATTATTTTTAAATTTTAATTCACTTTAATCTACAAAGTAAACGTCATATAGTCGCTTGAGTTAGGGAGGTAACCTGGAAGTCAGGGCTCCAGGATGCCTGAGAATATATATAAAGGGGAAAGGGGAGTTTGAAACACCTATCTATTCCAGACTAAAGGAGCCTGGACTCTTTCCAGAGCGTGTCTGAAGGCAGATTTCCGCCCCATCCGGACCCCGCCGCTGTGGGATTATGATTTATTCACATCCCAGGAGATGGGATAACGCGGGGTTTACAGGAGGTATCCTCGAGGTGGGGGATGGGCTCTGACACCCGCAGCCCTCTCGGGACTCCACGACCCTCTCTTTAGAAGCAGGCCTCGCAGGAGGCAAAGCGCCCGGCACCGCCTCTCGGGGAGGCCCCAAGGAGGTGGGGTCTCCGTTCTCCTCTCCCGCCCCCCGCCCAAGGCCGGCAGGGCCCGTCCGAGAGGCCGGAGGAGGGGCCCGGCCCCGGCAGCGCCGCGCCGCGGGACCGCGGTCGGGTCGGGTCGTGTCGGGCCCGTTGGGCCGCCTCAGCCTCGGCCTCACCCGGCGATGAGGAAGATGATACGCAGCGGGTCAGACGCGATGGTGAAGACGTAGAGAGCGAGGGCCGGCCCGAAGGCGATGAAGGTGCAGCCGAAGAACACGGCGGCCGTCATGGCGGCCCGGGGCGGCGGGGACGGAGGCGGGGACGGAGGCGGAGGCGGAGGCCGTAGCGGCGCGCGGCGGCTCGAGGCGGTCCAGGCTGCGCCGCGCCGAGCTGCCCAGTACTCTGCCGGCGCGGGACGGGGGCGGGGGCGGAGGAGGGGGCGGTGTCCGGCAGGGCCCAGGTGAGCGGGCGGCCAACCGCACCCCCCTCACCCCCACCTCCGGAGAGGCAGCGGGGCTTCCAGAGACTGCCGGCTGCAGTGCGCCCTCCCCACGCCGCGGCCGGCATGTGACCCCGCCCCCGCGCGCCACGTGGCGCTTCACCGGCCCCCCTGCCCGACCTCCCAGGCCCGAAGCGGGAAATCCCCCTAGAGATGCGCCGCGAGAAACGTCACGGGGAACGGGGAGGGGGAGGTCTCTGAACCCGGTGCGGTCACTACCTTCTCCCTTAACGCCACCTACACTCCATACACTCCCTAAAGGAAGCGGGGGGGGGGGGAGAGAAAGTCACGTGTCGTTCGTCGCTACCTTTACTCTTACCACTCCTGAAACTTGGTCGCATTGATAACGGAGAGCGCTAGACGTGCAGAAGCATTTTCCTATCCTAGTGAACTTAGTTTTTAATAAAAATATTTTGGTAACTATTTCAGTATAACTGCTTTCCTTTGTAATCCTGGACATCTTATTTGATGCCTTTAAAAATATTATTTTGAGAATATGGCCCTAGGCTCTGCCACGCTACCAAAGGGGATCCATGCCCACTGCCCTGGGCCAACGTCCCCTTTTTTTGCGGAAACAGTGAGGAAACCGGCATACAGCTGAAATGACTTGTCAGGGTCACGTAGGTCTGAAGAAACAGCAGAGTTTGCATAGTGCAGTAAGTCCTTATTCTGCTTTTCTTTTCTTTTTTGAGATAGGTTCGAAAATTAGGGCACATTGGATCCTCCCTGTAATCCTGTGCTTGGGGATCCATGCCCGTCCCCTCTAATTCTCTGCCTTAAAGTGTGACTACTTTAAGCATAAAAATATTAAATACATTTTAACCATTGATCCGAGCAGTTTGGGGCTTTCGAACCTCTTCAGCAGGACAAAAAGGCCATCTTCGTGAAATACCTGTACTCCATTCGTATCCATTTGCCACTATTCACAAAATAGTAGAAGTCTTTCCGTCTAGTGCTCCTTCCCTTACATGAAGCAGGAGAAGCACTCTTAAAAAATGTTAACTAAAAAAGTTTCCCATTTTTTGGAAGGTACGAACCAGTGTTGAGTGGAAGACTTCAGGGAGGGGAGAGGTTAGGAGTAAGGAAGAAACGTTGCTATGTTTAGAAATGTTTATGTATAGAAAACTCGTCAGAAAGGTATCTCCACAATTTGAGTGCACGAGTCAAGAGGTTTTTCTTAGGGGGAGGGGGTGGGAAAGGAAGAGAATAAGCATTTATTAAGCACCTACTGAGTGCTGCCAAGTGCTTTACAAATGTTATATTATTTGCGCTCTAAAATTAAGATCCTAAATATCCACCTTTGTAAAGTCTTCTGAGTCATCATCTGTGAAGTAATCCTCAGCTCACACAAAGATATTAACTGCAATTTGTAAATTCGAATTTTTTTGATACTCAAAAGTAGAACCTCAGAATTTCGGTTACTTAACACGGCAATGTATTAAAAAAAACACCTTTCATCATTTATAACTAATGAAAAACAGTTGTTTCGTAAACTGAGAAGGTGGTTACTAAAAATCATAGCTCGTTCTAAAAAGTGTGCATCACTGAAAATGTACAATGAAGTATAAGAAATATGTTCAAATGGCAGTTAAAGCTAACAAGCTAGTTTATTCCCCCAAAAAGTTAGCAATAGGGAAGTTATAGGCAAATAGGACTAAGTCTTGGCTTAAGGGTACTCAATGTTGCTTGTTGTTCTGTCACTCTTTGTGACTCTATGTTTTCTTGGCAAAGATACTGGAGTGGTTTGCCATTTCTTTCTCCAGTGGATTAAGGCAAACAGAGGTTAGATGACCTGTCCAGGGTCACACAGCTAGTGTGTGTCTGAGGCCAAATTTGAACTCAGGTCTACCTAGCTCCTGGCCCAGTACTGTATTTACTGAGCCACTTATCTGCCTTCCAGGGTACTTAATAAGATCTTTAAAAACCTTGTTAGGAGAATTTAGTTTTCTACCATCTTTATCTTCTTAGAATTAAATCTTCATTGTGACAGTAAAGTTGGGAAAAGTTAGGCAAGATTATGTATGTTCCTGTTTTACTTCCTTTCAGTTCAACAAACATTAGCCAACTATGTTCAACACAGTGCTAGATGCTGAAAATATAATAACAGATACAGGCATGCTCTTAAGCTTACAATAAGAGGTATACAAATAAGTGTAAGTTAGAACATAGTAAGTGCACATTACCTTGGAGGTTGTTGTAAGCAAAGCATTTTTTTCCTCCTATAAATTGTAAAAACACTATACTGTATAAATAGTTGCCATCATCATTTGGAAGTGATGTTACTGACCAAGGCATCAGTCACTGATATTTTTGTGAGAAGATACTATTCATTACCCTAAAGGCTTGAGATCACCAGCAAGAGGCAAGGGCCATGATGACAGTGAAGTCCTGACATAGAAGAAGGTTGCAGATGCAATTGGCCTATACAGACTCAGCTAGGAATCTCATTTCTTCCAGCAAAGCTGGAATGGAAGAATGGGTGGAGAAAACTTGGTAGTTAGGGTGACAGTCATCTCAGAGGTCTACTAATTGATTGATATTGCCTGGAGACCATTGCATTTAATATTGGACTTCTCAATTGTCTTCACAGTAGTGCTAATATATTTGCATGGATTCATAGATTCTTATCAAGTTTCCCTAATAGAAAGGAGTGCATCTTAAAAACAGCTAGTATTTGCAGTAGAGTTAGTGGCCATCAAACAGATTAAAGTTAACTGAATCATTTGGGGATTAACCTTGTGGCCTTAGTCCCATTAGTCATACTACATACTTTATAAGGTCCAATAGAATCTTAAAAAAAGAAAGCTGGGGAGGCAGAGCCAAGATGGTGGTGTAAAAGCAATGACTTGCTGGAGCTCTCCCCCAAACCCCTCCAAATACCTATAAAAAATGGCTCCAAACAAATTCTAAAGCAGCCGAACTCACAAAAAGACAGAGTGAAACAAATCTACAGCCCAAGACAGCCTGGATGATTGATCAGAAAGGTATATTGCGTCAAGCAGGTAGAACAGCACAGTTTGGCATGGGCGCACAGGCAAGGCAGGCCTCAGGGAACCTAGAGCAGGCCTCAGAGGACTGAATTGTGGGCAGCTGTGGCAGTTTCCAGACTTCTCAACCAACGAACACCAAAGACAACTTGGAAGGTCAGTGGAAAAAGTCTGTGTCTGCAGTGAGAAAGAAGGCCCCAGTCCCCAAACTCAGCCCAGGCAGTGGCTGTCTCTGGAGCTTCCAGCCCACAGACTGAGGGGAAATCAGGTGGCTGATCAGAGGGGGACTGCAGGAATCTCTTGCTTTGCCCGTGCTTGGATCTGGGTCACAGTTCTGGGTGGCAGTCCTGGAGCGAGGAGGAGTGCTGGCCTGATGGAGCTTGTAGTGATGGTACATAGAAAATCCTCCTCACAGTTCCAAGGAAGAAAAGAGTGCTTGTGGTCACTCACAGACCAGAGTATAGGCCAGGAAAGGAGTAAACACCTCACCCCTTATCATACCACCTTGGAAGAACTGAAAATTTACAGGTCCCTAGAAGTATCTCTGGAAACCCCTGCACAAAACCCGTGAAGCTTGGGACAGTACATTCTCCACACTGGAACAGACCTACCTTAACAAAGAGTTTAAAACTCAAGTAATTGGCTGAGATCATGAGCAAAGTCCAAAAAAAGTCAGACATAAATCTTACTTTGTGAACAAAGAAGATCAAAACATACAACCAGAAGACAACAAAGTCAAAGCTCCTACATCCAAAGCCTCCAAGAAAAATATGAATCAGTCCAGGCCTTGGAAGAGCTCAAAAGGATTTTGAGAAGCAAGTAAGAGAAGTAGAGGAAAAACTGGAGAGAAATGAAGTGATGCAAGAAAATCATGAAAAACAAGTCAACAGCTTGCTAAAGGAGACCCAAAAAAATACTGAAGAAAATTACACCTTAAAAAATAGCCTGACCCAAATGGCAAAAGAGGTTCAAAAAGCCAATGAGGAGAAGAATGCCCTAAAAAGAAAATTGGCCATATGGAAAAGGAAGTCCAAAAGCTTACTGAAGAAAATACTTCCTTAAAAATTAGAATAGAGCAATTGGAAGCTAGTGACTTTATGAGAAATCAAGACACTGTAAAACAAATCCAAAAGAATGAAAAATAGAAACAATGTGAAATATCTCATTGGAAAAACAACTGACCTGGAAAATAGATCCAGGAGAGAGAATTTAAAAATTATTGGACTATCTGAAAGCCATGATCAAAAAAAGAGCCTAGACATCATCTTTCAAGAAATTATCAAGGAAAACTGCCCTGATATTTAGAACCAGAGGGCAAAATAGAAATTGAAAGAATCCTCTGATCACCTCCCAAAGGAAAACTCCTAGGAATATTGTAGCCAAATTCCAGAGTTCCCAGGTCAAGGAGAAAATATTACAAGCTGCCAGAAGAAACAATTCAAGTTGTGGAAACACAATCAGGATAACACAAGATTTAGCAGCTTCTACATTAAAGGACCAGGGCATGGAATATAATATTCCAGAGGGCAAAGGAGATAGGATTACAACCAAGAATCACCTACCCAGCAAAACTGAGTATAATCCTTCAGGGGAAAAAATGGTCATTCAGTGAAATAGAGGACTTTCAAGCATTCTTGATGAAAAGACCAGAGCTGAATAGAAAATTTGACTTTCAAATACAAGACTCAAGTGGAACATGAAGAGGTAAACAGGAAAAGAAATCATAAGAGACTTATTAAGGTGAACTGTTTACATTCCTGCATGGAAAGATGATATTTAACTCATGAGACCTTTGTCAGTATTAGGGTAGTTGAGGAAAAAAATTATATGATAGATAGATAGATAGATAGAGCACAGGGTGAGTTGAAGATAAGGGTCATATCTGGAGAATAAAATTAAGGGTGAGAGAGGATACTGGAGAAGAGAAAGGGAGAGGTAGAATGGGGTAAATTATCTCACAAAAACAGAAAGAAAAGCTCTTACAGTGGAGGGGAAACGGGAAGGTGAGAGGGAATGAGTGAATCTTATTCTCATAGGATTTGGCTTAAGGAGGGAATA